CTCCAAGCAATCTCTCCTACACTTTTACCAGCACTCACACACATCATCAACACATCTCTCCTCACAGGCACCTTCCCCATTGCATTCAAGCAGGCTCGGGTAACCCCACTGATCAAAAAACCTACATTAAACACTTCACTTACAGATAGCTACAGACCTGTCTCTTGACTTTCTTTCATAGCAAAAACACTCGAACAAGTTGTTTTTAACCAGGTATCATTATTTCTTACACAGAACAACAAACTGGACGCTAACCAGTCAGGCTTCAGGAGTGGCCATTCAACTGAGACTGCGCTACTGTCAGTCACTGAAGCCTTGCGGTTTGCAAAAGCTGATTCCAAATCATCAGTTCTTATTCTGCTGGATCTATCTGCTGCTTTTGCCGTTATGAAATGAATGAAACCAAATGAAAACAAAGTGGACAAAATGTGATAAAAAGGTTCAAAGCACATCACCTTGTCACTGGGGTTCCTCAGGGATCAGTTCTTGGACCCCTCCTCTTCTCCATATACACAACATCACTGGGTCCCATCATACAGGCACATGGCTTCTCCTACCATTGCTATGCTGATGACACACAGCTCTATCTCTCATTTCAACCAGATGATCCAATGGTAGCTGCACAGATCTCAGGCTGCCTGGCGGACATCTCGGCATGGATGAAAGAACATCACCTACAGCTCAACCTGGCAAAGACTGAGCTTCTTGTCTTCCCAGCCACTCCGGCTCAACAGCATGACTTCACCGTCCAGTTAGGTTCATCCACAATTACCCCATCAACTTCGGTCATAAATCTTGGTGTAATCTTTGATGACCAGCTGACCTTCAAAGACCACATTGCAAAGACCGCTCGATCTTGCAGGTTTGCATTGCACAACATCAGAAAGATCAGGCCCTTCCTAACGGAGCATGCTGCACAACTTCTTGTCCAAGCCCTTGTCATTTCTAGGCTGGACTACTGCAATGCTCTTGTGGCTGGACTTCCATCATGCACAGTCAAACCTTTACAAATGATTCAGAATGCAGCGGCACGACTGGTCTTTAACGAGCCCAAAAGAGCCCATGTTACACCTCTCTTTATCTCCCTGCACTGGCTGCCGGTTACGGCTCACATCAAGTTCAAGACACTGATGCTTGCATATAGAACAGCCACAGGCTCAGCACCCGCCTACTTCCACTCACTAATACGAATCTACATCCCCTCCAGAAGTCTGAGATCCGCTAGTGAGCGACGCCTCGTGGTACCATCACAGAGAGGCACAAAATCACTTTCCAGAACATTTTCGTTTACCATTCCTTGCTGGTGGAATGATCTTCCAACCCCTATCCAGAATGCTGATTACCTGACATTTTTGCTTGAAACTTGGTATGACGAGCACTTCATGTGTCTATTTGCCTCTTTAAGGTGACTCGCTTGATGTATTCCCCAATTGTCTATTTGGATAAAAGCGTTTGCTAAATGAATAAATGTAAATGTAAATGTTTTTCATTTTTGTTTTCGTTAGCGATAATAACCCTGTCGCTCACAAGCCTCATATTACGCAGTTTAAGCAGCTTTATTCAAAGACAAAGAGTCTCAGGGTTTCTCAGTATCAAACTAAACAACTGCTGAAAATCTGCTGATATGATGTGAGCAAAGCTACACGAGACACAGAGAGAATCAAATAAAGCAGCTTTCCATGACGTCACTGCAGCTCAAGCTTGGCAGGAGTTTACAGACCTTCCCCGAACACCACACACAGGTTTGTTTTTGTGAATTGTGGGGACATTCTATAGGCGTAATGGTTTTTATACTGTACAAACTGTATGTGCTATTGCCCTACACCTAACCCTACCCCTTACAGCAAACTTTGTGCATTTTTACTTTCTCAAAAAAAACTCACTCTGTATGATTTTATAAGCGGACAGGACGACTGGTTGCAATCGAGGGAAAGATGAATGCGGCCAAGTACAGGGATATCCTGGGCGAAAACCTTCTCCAGAGTGCTCAGGACCTCAGACTGGAACTAAGGTTTACCTTCCAACAAGACAATGACCCTAAGCACACAGCTAAAATAACGAAGGAGTGGCTTCTCAACAACTCTGTGACTGTTCTTGAATGGCCCGGCCAGAGCCCTGACTTAAACCCAATTGAGCATCTCTGGAGAGACCTAAAAATGGCTGTCCACCAACGTTTACCATCCCACCTGACAGAACTGGAGAGGATCTGCAAGGAGGAATGGCAGAGGATCCCCAATTCCAGGTGTGAAAAACTTGTTGCATCAAAAAGACTCATGGCTGTATTAGATCAAATGGGTGCTTCTACTAAATACTGAGCATTTTTCAGTTTTTCTTTTTTAATAAATTTGCAAAAATGTCAACAATTCTGTGTTTTTCTGTCAATATGGGGTGCTGTGTGTACATTAATGAGGAAAAAAAATTAACTTAAATGATTTTAGCAAATGGCTGCAATATAACAAAGAGTGAAAAATTTAAGGGGGTCTGAATACTTTCCGTACCCACTGTATGTCCTCATTTGTAACAAAAACGCACTCACACACACACACACACGCACGCACGCACACACACACAGACACACACTCTGCATGTGTTACACTATAACAAAAGATCGAACCACACAGCATTTATTTTAAGCACACTTTTCACAAAATTAATAATGTAATCAATCTTACATTGATAAGATTCTATAATTATAATCAGAAATGATTACACTTCAGAAACGCATTCATCTCAGAGGACGGCTGTGTTGAGAGCAGAAGACTCAATGTCAGTGTGTCTTTTCTTTTGTCAGTCAAAACCAGCAGGTAAATGGCTGGAGTGGCAGGGAAATCAGTGTCTTCTGCAGGTAAATGCAGGTAAAATCAGTGCTGGAGTGACAGCAGCTCAGAGCCGCGGGTTTGATTAGGAAATGTGTCCTCCGTGAGATCAGCAACACTGAACACACACACACACCCAGACCTACACAACCAACAACAAAAACACTGAATAACTGAGATAAAACGACTATTGTGCCACATCCTGTCTCTTTCCTTTCCTTACAAGCCCAAACTTAATGTCCAAATCAGTGAAATCATGTAACATGGCTGTAGTAAAATACAGTCGACTACAAATTTGAAAGAGTTATTAAAAGTATATTAAGCTGTGAAAGACTTGCACTGTTCCCCAGATGTCTGTCTGTCAATAAGGACATTTTTTGCTTACATTAGTTAGCCTAGTATTAGTTTCTGCTGTCGTATCCAAACTGGTGTTGAGAATTGTTTTACTGTATCAATTTTTTTATATAACATAGCAACCTTATTTCCAGCAAAATATACTTGCTATACAGTAGAGCTGCACGATTAATCGTTAAAAGATCGTGATCTCGATTCAAACACCCACGCGATCTGATATCTAAATGACAACGATTATATGAAATACTGGGGTGAAAGTTTATAGCTCGGATATAAACATTGATGTCTATGGTAGAGATCAAAATAAAGCAAATCCCCTTTTGAAAGTGACTGGCGCTTCAAATAACGTTTGTGTCGATTGCATTGTTTCACCACTAGGTGGCGACAGGTGACTGTTAAAAAATGTGTTTGTCATTGAATCATTCAAGAGATTCGTTCAAAAACGCTGATTTATCCAGCAATGAAACAAGTGAAGTATTTATGAGTGAGTCATTGAATCATTTATTCAAACCACTTTTTCATCATTTTAATATTAGAACTTGGTGTATTAAATATATTATATTTTAAATACATATATTAAAATGTTTAATAATTCAATCAAATGAATTAAACACTTTTAAATAGACTGCAGCAATTAATATTGTGTCACACATTATTTTGTTTAGTTCAGAGTCGTGGGAGAATTGTGATCTCTATTTGAGACAAAAAGTTCCATTGAACTTTATTGGTAACGACAGAACTTGCGCCCATAGTTCCTTTTGGGAAATGCACCCCAGCTCTACTATACAACCTATATATCACTACTGTGAAAAAAAAATCTCAAATAACATTTGTTCATATCATCCATGCTAATTGCATTAAATAATCATGATTACAACATTAACTAAAATAGCTGACATTGTGATTTCGGCCATAATAGCTAAAAATGTATATCTCAGTTTTTTCCATAATCGATACATCGATATTTTTGCATTTGCTCTCAAAAAATGTAAATGGGTGTTTATTTATTTTTTTGCCCTCTATTAAAAAAAAAAAAGATCTGGACAGAACAGCTATAGTTCAAAGTACATACAAATTGTTTACTGCAAAATCAACAATTGTTAAAAACATAGTGATCGCTTACTGCTTTTTTCACTGCTTTTTACTAAATAAAGAATAATAAATATATAAAAAAAAAAAATTAAGGAACATTACAAATAATTTCTATTTAAAGGTAACAATATAAAAATACGAAATAAAAACATAAAAATGAAACAAAAAGAGCAGTCTTCCTACAAAAAGCTGTGATTGTTGCAACATCGAAGCAAGTTCTTTGAAGAACAAAGAAACCTGTTACACTGAACGAGTGTCCGGTCATCATTTTCAGTGCACAGATCTATTGTGACATCAGTATCAGACAGTGATGTCATAAAGGCGAGCCAATCGCATCCGAGATCCACTGGAGGGGCGGAGCCTGTCAAACAGAGGACGAGATCAGAAGAGTTTCTTACCTGGCAAAACTCCCGCAGCCACGTCTTCTGTAGGTTCTCCGGCTGAAAGAGGAACGAGAGATCAGTCAGACCTTAAGAGTTTCATCACCAGGATCCGTCATTGTTATATTCATTTACCTTCACTACCGCTGACTTCCATAGTATTTTTATTCATACTATGGGAGTCAATGGGAGCCGAAATTGGGTTAAGGTGAATAAATTATGACAGGATTTTCATTTTTGGGTGAACTATCCCTTCAAACTCACATGACCAGTGTGTCTGATGTCAGCACACAGTGACGCGGATCATTCATACCGATTAAAGCATCTGTTACTGTACATACATAATAAATACTACAATAACTCAACTACTATAACAATCAGTATTCTTCTGGACACCACACATGAGTCTGTGCTGAGAGTAAATACAGGTGTGTTTGAGAGCATCAGTGTACATGTTATCAAGTCTAAGAGTGAATGTGGGCTACACACACACACACAGTGACTACCCACCGCACAAGACTATATAAGGACACACACACTGAACCCTGATATTACAGACACAGAGGAAATCACTGCACTAAATATGGCCTGCAGTCACACACACACTCTCTCACACACACACACACTCTCACACACACACACTCTCTCTCACACACACTCTCACACACAAACACTCCTGAGTGAAGCGTGTGTTTGTAAACACATGCTGAAACGCTAAAACTACACTATAAAAGCATTGCTCGAGTCAACGTGAAACATAATTTTCATATTTAGCTCCACAGTATGACATTAAAAAAAAGAAGGCTTTGATTTTATTCATGACGGCTGATTGACTGCAAACAAAACCTAAATCAAAGGAATATTAATACTGAGACACAAATATGTGCAGAGAAAAACATATTTTGAGGAAAAATGTCAATTACAAAAAGTCAAAAGATTATGAGAATACATTTTGAGAAAAAGTAAAATATTTTGAGAAAAAAGTAACAATTAAGAGACTAACTAGCAAAAGAAAATCAAAAACAAGATTGTGAGAATATAGTTGTAACAGCACAATATTAAAGATTTTATTTTGAGAAAAAGTTCAAATTACAATAATACAGTCAAAAAGATTATGAGAACAGTATGAGATTAAAGTCATAATATTTTAAGAAAAAAACGGGAGACTAAAGTGAAAGTATTACACGAAAACTAAGATTGCATGAATAAATTTGAAGCTATTTGAGATTAGAGTCATAACATTATGATAAAAACTACAAGAATAAAGTAAAAAAACAAAGATTGTGAGAATAAAGCTGAAACAGTATGTGAATGGAGTCATAATATTTTGAGAAAATAGTAAAAAATTACAAGAATAAAGTAATAACATTATGAAAATGAAGTCAGTGCACTATGAGATTCAACTCAAAATACTTTGTAGCATTACAAAAATAAAGTAAAAAAAAAAACAATGTTCATGAGAATAAAGTTGTAACAATACATGATTCAACTAATACTATTTTGTAAATATTATATAATATAAATCTAAAACTTAAAAAAGGCTTTTACATTAAGCATCATTTATCTGTTTCTCTGACCAAAACAGATAACTCAGTTTTTAACTATTTTCAAAAATCATGTTTTTTCCATTGTGCGTTCCAATTAATCTCAATCACACTGCAGTCGGGTTATTCTGATTAGGTAACAAATGACTAACAAATACAGCTAACTAACACAATAAAAACATGAAAACATAATACAAAACATGATTTTTGAAAATTAAAAAAAAAAAGTTATCGGTTTTTGCAAATAAACTCTTCAAATATTCTTTGAAAGCTTGAAAAATCCTGAAAGCCGCAGACAATCGAATCATGTTGGAAACAGCCGCGGGTCACTGCGGGTTCATCATCAGATCTGACCTGCAGCTAAAGCAGCTAAAGCAGGACAGAGCTCCTCCAGAGCGCCAGCTAAAAACACCAGCTTATCAAAAGTTCATTTGCAGTTAATTAGAGAGGATCTCCCCTGGAGGCCTGATGAAGCGCTTCTGCACCGATCCGGCCTGGTTTACACTCCCTCTGGGGATTCAGAGCGCTCGGATTTAGCCAAACGTATTTCAGGAGCGCCGTGAGAATATGCCTTTAAAAGGAGAGTGAAACAACAGCGAGCGCTGCCTGGGATAACAGGTACTTTCATCAGATGATGACAGACGCTTTTAGATCAAACTCCTTTCAGTTCTGGAAAAATTAGCCGTTTCAGTTCCACGTGCCTTTAGCTAACTAACACAATAAAAACATGAAAACATAATACAAAACATGATTTTTGAAAATTAAAAAAAAAAAGTTATCGGTTTTTGCAAATAAACTCTTCAAATATTCTTTGAAAGCTTGAAAAATCCTGAAAGCCGCAGACAATCGAATCATGTTGGAAACAGCCGCGGGTCACTGCGGGTTCATCATCAGATCTGACCTGCAGCTAAAGCAGCTAAAGCAGGACAGAGCTCCTCCAGAGCACCAGCTAAAAACACCAGCTTATCAAAAGTTCATTTGCAGTTAATTAGAGAGGATCTCCCCTGGAGGCCTGATGAAGCGCTTCTGCACCGATCCGGCCTGGTTTACACTCCCTCTGGGGATTCAGAGCGCTCGGATTTAGCCAAACGTATTTCAGGAGCGCCGTGAGAATATGCCTTTAAAAGGAGAGTGAAACAACAGCGAGCGCTGCCTGGGATAACAGGTACTTTCATCAGATGATGACAGACGCTTTTAGATCAAACTCCTTTCAATTCTGGAAAAATTAGCCGTTTCAGTTCCACGTACGTGCCCTTTATGCTCACACGGCTCTATAATCGCTCACGGTTCACTGCGCTAATTCTGCTCAGAAAACTAGAAATCAGACGCAGACTCGTACCAGAGAAACACACACATCACATCAGAATACCATGATAGATACTGAATGACCTCCACACACTTCAGTTTAGTGCCACGACTGCATTCATGGGGAGAAACGAGTGAAAAAATAGAAGTAAATAAATAAATTACACTATATAAATCAAAATACAAAAACAATTCTAAAGGTTTCTGAGGTTTAGCTTCGATGAAAGAAATCTAAAAATGAACTTACTGAAGTCAACGCTGGTTACTTCAAAGAATAATTACGGAACATATGAAAGTGTTTTTGTTCACGATTATGCAGAAACAAACAAACCCAACAAACAACAACATCAGCTGATGATATGAAACACACACACACACACACACACACAAACATACACACACAGAAACGCACACATACTCACACACACGGAAACACTCACACGCGCGCAAACACACAAACGTACACACATGCAAACACACACGGAAACGCACACACACTCTCACACGCACACGCAAATGCACAAACGTACACGCACAGAAACGCACACACGCAAACGCACAAACGTACACACATGCAAACAGACACAGAAATGCACACATATACACACACACACACACTCTCTCACACACACACACACACACACAAACACGGAAATGCACAGGCACTCTCATACGCACGCAGAAACAGACACATGCGGAAACACACACACACGGAAATAAACATACAAGCAAACACATTCACACACACACAAATATACACACACACAAACATGTACACACACACACGGAAACACAAACACACACTCACACACACATACACACACTCTGTTGATGATCTTAAAGGGACAGTTCACCCATAAATCATCACACTGTCATCAATTACTCACTCATTTTTATTATTCACTTCCTTCACTATTATTATTATTATTATTTTGTAATATAAAAACTGCACTATAAAAATTTATATTTCATAATATTAGGCCTAATTATTACACTGAACAAAATTATAAACGCAACACTTTTGTTTTTGCCCCCATTTTTCATGAGCTGAACTCAAAGATCTAAGACTTTTTCTATGTACACAAAAGGCCTATTTCTCTCAAATATTGTTCACAAATCTGTCTAAATCTGTGTTAGTGAGCACTTCTCCTTTGCCAAGATAATCCATCCACCTCACAGGTGAGCTGTGTGATAAAACTGTACATTTTAGAGTGGCCTTTTATTGTGGCCAGTTTAAGGCACACCTGTGCAATAATCATGCTGTCTAATCAGCATCTTGATATGCCACACCTGTGAGGTGGATGGATTATCTCGGCAAAGGAGAAGTGCTCACTAACACAGATTTAGACAGATTTGTGAACAATATTTGAGAGAAATAGGACTTTTGTGTGCATAGAAAAAGTCTTAGATCTTTGAGTTCAGCTCATGAAAATGGGGGCAAAAACAAAAGTGTTGCGTTTATAATTTTGTTCAGTGTAATTCAATTATATAATTATATATAAATTATTTTGTACTGTAGTAAAATTTCAATACTTGTGTCTCTGAATCTTCAGCTGTAAGAGTTAAACCCTCAAGCTTTATTTGAGGGGAAAACAGCAGGGAATCCTTTAGGTTCAGTGAAAACAGGTTTACCAACGCATCTCATTACAAATCTAGTGAAACGCTGTAATTAATCATCGCTCATGTGCAAATACAGTGGAAACTCCTGAAGAGCAGCGGTGCATCACGGCAAACAGAGGCGAACCTTCGACAAACGGCTGTCTGAAAGTTTGCTGACGCTGTGGAGTCGCTACGCTCTGAATCACATTTCCAGAAAACAGGAGCTGACGGTGAGCCGGTCTGACGGGGTTTCCTTAAACTAACATCCCGCACTCCTGCTGGATTACCAGCTCATGTCAGAACAACATGAGCTATCTGGCCTTGGGTTTATCATGAAGGAACATGTCAGTGTGATATTAGCTGTACAGTAGAGAAGAGCTGGAGATCAGTGACAGACCGTCAGGAAACCAGGACAGAGAGTCTAGAGAGACTCAGTGCTAAAAATACTGATAGAGAGACTGAGAGATACAGCAGAGAGAGAGAGAGAGAGAGAGAGTGGGCGGGTCTCCCTCCCCTAGTGACGTCACAAAGAGATCTCATTATAATATTAACGCCCCTTAATCTGTAAGTTTCCTCCCACGGCGTCGTCATTTTGATTTCGCAAGAGACAAT